CTCCCGCCACGCGCCGGCAGCTGCCCAGCAGGAAGCCCCGGTAGCAAGTCATGGTCCGCGGGGCTGCGGCTGCAGGCTCACACTCCCCGCCGCCGCCAGCACGCGCGCCGGGCGCGCAGTGGTTAAGTGCGGGGACGTGCGTGGGACGCGCCACTAGGGGGGAACGTGCCCAGACGCTGGCGCGGCCGGGGAGGCCCCCGCGAGGACCTGGGGGTGGGGTGGGGGTGGGGGGGACAAGGGGGCGGGGAGCAGGGGCTGGCCTACGGGTGGTGGGGTTTATTTGTTTGTTTATCCGTTTCCTCCCTGCGCCTGCGCAGTGGCCTCTGGGCCCGGCCCCACCTCCCTCTCCACCCTCTAGTCCGCTCTGCGCCCGCCCCCAGGCCAGCCCGATCAGCTAATCAGAGTTCGGGGAGCTTTGGGAGCCCGATGGGGCTGCAGGGATTGGTTGCGGCTGGGAAAGGGCAGGAATTCTATTTGGCGTTTGAGCTGCCCGAAGAAATCCAGCTGGAACCGGTCTGAGGCGGCCTTAGGGGGTGCAGGCGGAGTTTTGAGCGCCTGGCGGGAAAGAGATGGTCCTTGAGCATCTCCACCTCGGTGCTTTCATTTTTGCCGAGTTTCCTGGCCCCGTGCTCGTCTTGGGTGAATTTTAACCAGTGTCTGCTGAATAGCCGGTGTGTCCATCGCTGCGGTGAGAGCTGAGGACACTGACCTCGCACCAAGCGGCGAAGTTGGCGGGGCGTCCCAATGCCAAAAGGAGATGCCGAGCCCTTTATTAGGAATTACAGATAGCGAGAAGGATCACAGAGCATTAACACGAGCTCAGAGATCTAAGGCGCCTGGTCCTTCTTGATCGCCAAACCAGCAGCCTAGACAGACTGTGCTGTCAGTGAGAAACGTGGAGGGTAATGAGGGAAGGAGTCTTGCCTAGTGGTGCGTGTCCCTAGTAGACAGAAATTTCGGTTGGAAAACAGGGTAGGGCCAGACTGAAAGGTTAAAATGCTCGCACTTTGCACTTTATTCTGTAGGCGGCCCACAAAGAAGCAAGTGTTTGATGACTATTGATCTGGCTTTGGAATGTTGGGTAGTCTTGGAAGCCAGAGCAAGGGAGGCTGTCAGGGTCTGTGGGGACAGTTACACAACCAGAGAGATCTAGGCTGACGTGAGAATATTGCGAATAGAAGGGAAAGTTACTCGGAAGGAAAAGTCCTAGTACGTGGCACCCGCCTCTGAGGTCCTTGCTGTTGCCCTCTCCTTTGCAGTCCTGGCACCCCCAGAAAGTGGTTTCTGGATTCCAGGCACGCTGTTTCATACTAAGGAGACTCGGATGCCTCTGTAATGTCAGACCTATTATTTTCTCTCCACTTCACAGAAGATTAACTCCCACTTCCGGCTAGGAACACCCCAGTGGGCTATCCTTGTCAAACCTTACTTTGGATCCTTTCTTCTGCCTCTTCCTCAGCGTTGCTTCATTAAGCCATCCTCTCAGATGTATCTCGAATTCTCTCTCCCCCTGCTGGATTTTCCGCTCAAGTTCTTAGGCATACCCATGTCTATGACATTTGAAACTTCAAAGAATGAGAAGAGCCTCCTAAGCCCCAATGGTTTACTTGTTCCCTCTCTCCCCTTTGCACATCGATTCTGGACAGAATGACCTGTTCATCAGTCATCAAATGCTGCCAACCTTTTCTTTTTTTGGTGGAGAACAGGGTGGGAATAGGGCGGCGGGGGCGGCGGGGGGGGGGGGGTGCGGCTCTTAGTTGGCTTACATTTCTAATCCATCGTTGAGGGAACCACCAACCTTTTATCATTTCCCTGTGCTTTCTTCACTACTCTTTCTTATTTCCAGAGTTAACCAGATGGCCAGATTGAAACTCAGAGGATACCATGTAGTCCTTAAATCACTCGGTTATGGGAAGCACAGAGCCGGCTCTCTATTCTTTCTGGAGTACTTGGCTGTTGGTTCTCAGCACACCAGTCCCTAATCGTGTTTCCTTCACCTCTCAGTTCCCCCTCTTGGATTCTTCCTAGACCCATCTCTGGGATGTAGCTCCTACCATCGACTCTTCTAGCCGTCTTCCTTTCACTTCTCCCCCCACTCCGTTTTCCTTGGTCCCTTCATCTACTGTTGTGTAAAGAAGTGTTTGGGCCTTCACAGACTGATTCAAATCCCAGCTCTAGTGTGTATTTGTTTTGTGAACCTTGGACTGGTTGCTTAACCTTTCTGAGCCTATTTCTTCATCTATAAAACAGCAGCTACCTGTAAAGTTGCACAGAAATGAATAAATGCCTAACCTATGTCCACTATAAATTAGACCCTGCAAATATTAGGCCCCTTTGCCTTAAAAGACTTCAGCTATTTCCACCATCTTTAGCTCATTCCATTCTCCCGAACTTCAAATCCTTATTTGTAGCTTACTTTAGGATGTCTCTTCAGTTCAAATATACAACACGTATCAGTGATCACTAAATTATATTGGAATAGAACACCCTACTGGGTGCTGGAAATCAAATGATTAAGAGTTTTGTTCTTTAGGAGCCTGAAGAGTGTACAATGATAGAATTCTACAGAGTGCTTCTAAGAATTCAGAGAAGCCGGTTTTAATTCAGCATAAGAGTTAGGGAAAATATCCTGGAAATGTCTTGAACTGACACTTGGTAAAACATTAGTGTCATCAAGAATGAGAAAAGAATTCTACAGAGGAAATAGTATAAACAAATGTGTAGAGACCCAGTGAAGCAGCAATTCTGAATTTCTAGTGACTTGTGATCAGCAGGCAACACTGGGAGCCATTACTGCAGATACAGATGGAGGAAAGTGTTATATCCATGCCAAGGACCTTGGCTTTTCTGCTATACATGTTAGTAAGCAACAAAAAAGACGTGGTGGCATAATTAGCTTTGCAAAATCATTAAAATTTTCTCAAAAGAAACACATGCAGTAAATAAACCTGAAGAGATGTTCAGCCATATTACAAATCAGAAAGACACAAATTAAGTTCGGAGTGAAATGGTTTTTATCCACTAGATAGGTAGAAATTAAGAAGTTCTAGGAATATCCTATCAAGCCACCAAGACCTTAATAAGGCTAAACCATCAATCATTTCAATGGTTCTACCATTACTACAGTTTACAATACTGTCTAAGAAGTTCTAATATGCTCTTATATTTCAGTTTGATAACTACAAGTCTGACAGTTTAAAAAAATCAATCAGTATAATAAAGTATATATGAGAGGTATGATCTGACACAAAACCCCTGGCATTCGTTAGACAGGGTATCAGCTTCACATCCTCTCAGACAAAAAGGAAAATTTAAAGGTACTGAATTTCAAATTCTAATCCTAGTGGTTTAGCATGGCAAAGCCAATGCGGTTTTCTTTCTTTCTATTTTTCTTTCTTTCTCTTTTAGGTTTTGGTTTTTCGAGACAGGGTTTCTCTGTATGACAATCCTGGCTGTCCTGGAACTTGCTTTGTAAACCAGGTTGGCCTCGAACTCACAGAGATCCACTTGCCTCTGCCTACCAAGTGCTAGGATTAAAGGTGTGTGTTGCCATGCCCGGCTGTGGTTTCCTAATGAATGATCCAGGCAACTACATGATAGCCACGTCTAAAGCAAATATTACTGTTCCTAACATTTTATGAAAGCATTGTATGTCACTGATATCTTCAGTTTGGAGGTTTCCAAATGCCTTACGATGTACTCTTTCCAATCTCTGTAACACTCAGGTACATGTGACTCTGTAAAAGATCCATACCCCTCTTTATAACATTCATATATTCTAGTACTCGTATAGACAGTTTTCATTGGGGGTGAAGGGCACCTTACTTTGGTAATAATGGATGTGTGTGGGAGTTTGAATGAGCAATGTCCCCAGTAGGTTCAAATATTTGAACACTTAGTCTGTGGTTGGTTGCACTGGGATAGGTTAGAGAATGTTCAGGAATTATGTCACTGGAGTTGGGCTTTGAGAGTGGATAGCCTGGTCCCATTTCCGGTTCATTCTACTTTCTGCAGGTGGGTGAAGAAGTGATCTCAGCTTCCTGCTCTGGCTCCCTGCTCACTGCTTCCCCACCATATGGATTCTCCCTCTGGAGCTGTAAACCCAAATAAATCTCCCTTCTGTGAGCCCCCTTGATTTTGATACCTTATCACAGCAACTAAAAGTAACTAATAAAGGATGTAAAATAATATTTTGTAACATAAAACATTTTAATGATTCATTATTAAGCTAAGCAATTGAAATAAATACTACTGAAAGAGAATGATTAGATAATCTTAATTTAAGATATGTAACTCAATATAAAATACATATGTGATATATTTGGAGACTAGTTAATCAGATCTTAATAAAAATAGCTCATATGGAAATCCAGGATGTAGGATTAGCAATCACCTATCTGAATAACTTAAGAAAAAGGTATTATTGTATAATTTATTATTTCCAATTGAAAGGAGATAAAGGTTTTAGAAAAGCAGAGAGAGACTAGATGATCTTTCTTTTCATGTTTCTGCTCTTTGTCATCATTTCATGATCCTGAAGTTTTCACTGCCTCTGCTTCTAACGTACTTGGGGGTCTCCTGGCATTTCTGTATAGGCCACAAATAAGTCTGTTTCTCCTTTACCATCTGCACAGAAAACCAAAGAAAATCAGAGTAGATTTAACTATATTAAAACAGTTGGGACCCGGGAAAAAATATTGCTTCGTTTTCATTCCAGTTTTGGAACAAGAAGAAACATGCCAAGAAATGAAGGAGGGCTCTGTTCTCTGCTTCACTTTAACAATTATCCTATAAATACAGCGTTCCCACAAAGTTAGGGTCTTATAGGTGAACCAGTGCTGCCTCCTGATTATGTTATGTTCCTAGAAAGAATTATCCACTGAGTGTGTTCTGCACCAGAGTTACTTTCAGGAATGATGGTAGAGGAGAAAGAAGTAATCTTAATTATCTGTATTAACTCCTTCCTCTGATACTGTCTCTTTCTCTTCAGTATTCCTTGTCTCTTTTCTTCTGAACATATTACTTAAATCGTACTCTAAAAGAGCTTATTCAGCTGCCGTATGCTAAACTCTGAGATTTGAGCAGAGGTTTGCTTAATAAATATGTGCATGCAATGCTCTTGTATTTATGAAGGCAGTTAAGCAATGTTAACTTTTAAAATATATATTCAGGTGTATACTTCCAAAGAATATTTTCTTCAGTGTAGCAATTTGTGAAATTACACCCTCGTTACAAGTATGTCAGGGTTCAGAACGCATTCGGAAACTTTTTAGGATCCTGAATCTTTATCCCATCATGGGATACTAACAAAATAAAATATGGCCCTAAGTACTGAGACCGATATTCATATGTGAGTCATAAAGTATCTCTGAAATATCAAAAGGGCATAAGCATATCTGCTAAAAAATTATTGAAATTACTATACCAAAATTAGGGAATTTGAGAGTCATTGGCTATATATGATACATTTGCTATAAAAGGGCTTCTACATAGCCACACCTACTAGACTATTAATGACAACCACATAAATAAAGCACATTGATATTTGGCTTTTGTATTTTTGACACATACATAATATATTACATTTTGTTCAATTATTCCCCAACATTTGTGGGCTGACTGTGAGCATAATATATAAGATGCAATGGATACAAGTCCAAAAATGGACACTTTTGTAAAAGAATTTCTACTTGAATATATGTATTAGGAAACTCAAAGTATAAGTGTAATATACATTTCTCAGAAGATAAACATGATTTAATGAAATGCCTTACAGTTATAATATTTTTAAAGATATGGCTGTAAATTTAGTAAAATATTTTTCCTATAGCCAGACAGTGTATGAATAAAATACTTTAGTGAGATATTTATCAAAAACCAACAATTTGTACTTTTAATTATTATACCCATCAACATGATGAATAGTCCAAATTAGTTATCAAATCCTATTCTAGATTAATCCACAGAATGATGAATTTTTATCTTCTGAAGTTCATTTCTTAAATTCTATCCACAATAATCAAAATTTAAAGTAAAACATAACTTTTAATTACAAGAAGTTGTATTTCTTTAATTAAAAAAAAAAACTCTTCAAAGTATGTGTAGAATCTTCAAGACAGTCTGGCATTTCAGTAGAGTGACCAGTTTCTGTAGATGTCATGTTTACAATCGAGAGTGCTATGAACAGACAACTGACTGTCTGTGGTTCCATCTTGAAGGATCTGTGGTAAATGTAAAATATGTCATTACATAACATCATATTTAGACTTAATATCAAATACAGATAAACATGAATAGCTTAGTGATAAGGAAATGAAAGATAAAAGTATGTTTTATATATGTTTAAATAATGTTAGAAAATATTGATAATAATTTTCATTCCCACCCTATATCAAGTGTGGTTCGTTTTAGCACGTGTGTACTCTTTTTTTTTTTTTTTTGCAGCCTTTGGGTTTATCATCACCATTATCGTGTGTGTGTGTGTGTGTGTGTGTGTGTGTGTGTGTGTGTGTGTGTGTGAGAGAGAGAGAGAGAGAGAGAGAGAGAGAGAGAGAGAGAGAGAGAGAGAGAGATGGGGGAGCACACGTGTGCTAAGGCATGCGTATGGAGGCCAGAGGATAACTGTGTGCTATTGGGTATCTCCTTCCACTTTATGTGGGTTCTGGGGCTCAAACTGAGGTTTTCTTGACACATGCTTTCTCTGCTGAGCCGTCCTAACAACAATGTCCCTAATAATTTTAAAGATGATATTTTCTGACAAAACGTTATTTAATTCATGGACCACAAAGTCCAAACAGGCATTTTATGACTTCCATAACTTCCTGAGGAAGGTGCTGTGTGGGAAGCAAGAGCAGAAGGAGGGGCCTGTGATTGACAGTTGCCTTATATTCTTTCCATTCATTTAACGGGAAGAGGGTTGCATATCAACCCTTTCTTAAAAAGTTTCATTACTGTGTCTCATTGATTAAATTTTGCCATCTCATCTCTAAGTTGGCATTTTCTAATCGAATCCACTTTATTGTGGACAATTCAAACAGTAATATGAAAGATAATTTACTTCTTCGTTTCTTTTAATTTGGAGAATCATAAACCTTGTGCTCAATAGATTTGTGTAAAGTAGAAAACCATACGCCTGTAGTTCTCTGGCTCATTGAGTCAAGCAACCGAATCTGCCCACACGGTAGAATTTTCCTTTCAATTAAAAAATTTTAATGTTAAAAGCAAAGCCTTCCATCCTGTTTTATATGTTCTTTGATCATTTTTTAAGATTCTGTATGATTAAAGCAGCTTTAAGATTTTACAATGATTGAAAGTGGGAAATGCTCACACATTATCATTTTATATTGTCAAGTCCCCATAGACAGAATTTGGGGTAAGTGAAGCTGTCACTGAAAGTGACTAGATGACTCTGTTAGAATAGCCACATCCACAGAACACAGCTGTGCTTACTAGGTCTTTGGCACTGCCCCCTGCCAATAATATCAGGGTGTCACCTTTAAATCCACACAGCGGGACAAACAGTAAAATCTAAATTTCATTTTACTGCCGGTTCTGTTTCAGCCTTAGTTCATTTGTGAATCCTGACCCAATTTGAAAAAGTAGTCATTTTTGCCCTAGTCAAAAAAGGACCTTGCAGGATAATACTTATACCATTTAGGTGTTTTTCTAAGCAGTCAAATTCCAAAGTAGGAATAAATATGATGTTCAGGACTTAAAACTAGATTTACCTGGATCCCCATGGCATACATTTCTATTTCCTCTAGTTATAGCCAGTAATAGACTGGAACATGAGAAAATGAGTCAGTAGTGGTTACTTTCAAGATGGCAATGTAATACTTGAAATTGTGAATGAAGTCTTTTATGGAATTTATAGGCAAATGACCTAAGGGTCATTTGGTCACAGGGAGGCCGACTTGAAGGCCCTTCATAGAAGACATTTCCAACCTACAAACAGCCAGGCTCCTACCACCACTCACTTAAAGCAGCCATTTTTATGACCCAAAGGCCTATTCATTATTCTGGACTATGATTGCGATACTGCTTTTAGGCTTCTGACCTAACAAGAATTATTTACCTGATCCATTTTTAGTGACTTGTATGAAGTCATCCTCATCCTCATCACAGCTGAACTGCTGGAGGACTGTGTCTGACGGGCTTTCAGCTGGATCACCCTCGGCCTGCTTCCTGAGGCTTCGAAGGGCAACAAGACGGTGATGTATTGCTGCGTACAGATAGCCTATGTCTTTGGCACTGGCCTTTGTGAGAAAAGTTAAGTTGTTAAGACTATAAGTAATGGATAAATGTAGCCATGTTTACCTCTTTCTCTCTCACTGTTTATAAAGGAAGGAATTGTACTACATAAATCTGGAAAGTAAATAAATGCCAGTAGCCCAACATGTTCAAAAGTAAAGCTGATTCATTTTACACCAAATTGTATCCCAAAGTGAAGTAATGTTATGAGATGTCAATCCATGCATTTTTTAAATTAAGCAAATGCAATTTTGTAATTGAAGAATCCTGTTTGAAGTGAAACCGTTAAGATGATTCTTACTTGGCTACCTTCTGCTGTAGAACAGCGTAGACCTAGAGGAAAGCCCTACAGCTTCTTCCCATCACTTTGCTTATCCACCCTCCGACCCACACAGCTTTGTGGAGAAGCAAAGCTCCCGAGGAATCGGTGACATTTTCAGACATCACACTTCTCAAAACTTCTCCAAGCTAAGTTTTGGTTGTCAATAAAATAAAAATGCTGGCAGCGTAGCTGAATACTGGTACAGCACTGGCTGTTGTGTTTGTATTCATCTACATTAGCAAAAACGAGTAGTACACATATACTCATCCCTCTTCCCTTTACAAAAGAGAAACCTATAGCTGAGAAAAAGAAAGGGACATGTCTATGTTACAACCGTAAAGCACTCATTTACATTAAAAAATTACTGTTTTGTCATCATTTTAACTGTTTAATCTCAGCAGTTTTATAAAGTATATTATTGTTGCCTTCATTTTGCATGTAAGTCAGTTTAATGAAAGCTAAGTGATTTGGAGGTCATATAATTGTACAATGGCACATATGTATGGATATGTACACATTTAGCTTTTCCTGATTTTGTAATATTTACACATACATAATAAGATCTTTTGTGGGTGTAGCCCAAATCTAACCAAAGAATGTATTTATGCTTCATCTATACATAGCCTATAGGAAATTTTTTACAATATTTTAGTGTGCCTGGGTGTTGGCTGGGACCCAATCATACAAAGATGTGGAAATTTCCATGTTGAAACTCAAAAAATGTTGGAGTTGGGAGCATTTTGGATTTCAAATTTTTAAATCTGGGATGCTTAACCTATTTGTGTAAGACTAAAATGTTGATAGTGATCACAACAGATGGTCTGTATTGTATTTCCTTTGTTGGTCACTTGCGAATGTACCACAATTTAAAAGCCAGTGGGGTGGAGTATTATGTCCTTAAATGATAAAGAGGAGTTATCATCTTACTCTTAGGTTTTTGTTGTTGTTGTTTATTTGTTTGTTTGGGGGGTTTTGTTGTTCTTTTGATTCTTGTTTTTTGTTTTGTTTGTTTGTTTGTTTGTTTTGGTATTGCTGCTGATTGAACTTTTCCTAACACTTTAATACTCAAAAGGTCACTTACCCCTGACAAAGCACTTTAAGTTAATAAAATTTGGGAGTTTTATCACATACCAATTTTTTCTTGGTTATTTAGTAGAAGTCTATCTACTTATATTATTAACTACTCCAATATCATTTGTGTACTCATATCTTTTCAAGTCCTCCAGGTCTCAGACTATGGAAAAACCCAGTTGCGGGTAGGAAGCTGGGGGTGGCGGGAAGAAGGCTTTGTTTGGGGCAGCTCTCTTGTGTCTGTATCTTGTATTTGAGGTCAGGCATTCCTGCTGCAGGGAACAGGAATCCTCCATCCGTTTCCCTGGAGATTTTCTCATGTTCAGAATTGGAATTTGCTGTTGGACTGGTTGTAACATGCTGGCCCTGTGCTTTTCCATTCCTCACTGGCTCCTTTGCTGTGCTCACAAAGCCTCCTCTATCTGAGTAACGGCGTTAAGCGGCTGGTTAAGATTCTGCTGACCTCCTAGGAGCCATTTTGACAATGTCGTCACTGGGAACTCATAAGCTTGTTGACATGATTGCCGTAGTAAAGGGAATGATAGGTAGTAACATCTGAATGTCTTAGAATGAGGACCACCTGATTCATATTGGCTTTGGTGTCAGTTTAAATAGATGTTAGGCCACATTACACTGTCAATAACCATAATGAGCTGCTGATTTCTTTGCCAGTCATGCAGATGATTATAGCAAAAATGCAAAAAAGGAATTAGGAGTTGCAAGAAGCTAATTATTGTATTAGTAGGCTGACCCCCGCATCACTGAAATCTGTAACTTACCTGAATTAAAAATACCTTTATACCATTGCCTTCTAAATCAGTCGCAGTGATTTGCAAGTTTTTGTGATTTGCTCTTTGAACCTTCATTTGAGTCCAGAGTCTGCTGTTGAGGACCAGCCTCAGATTGCCTTGGTTGTGCATGACTGTGATGAGAAGATAACAAGTCAGATTAGAGTTCATGATGCCTTAACCTGAGAAAAAGATCAACGTCTCTGAAGGAGGAGTTAATCCCGCGGTTGTTTTTCAAGCTGCGTTTTCTTTCACTGGTGAGTGGTCATTTGGCTAGATGATAACTCGGTTTTAAAATTGAGTCTTACGCTAGAGAGAGTTGATCTAATAACTTACTTTAGTTTCAGTGTTAGAATTCTATTTTTTCTAGAATTTTTAAATGATTAAACTTAAAGGGCTTCTTTGAAGACCTGCTGACATGGAGATTATCTAAGGAATGTTTACAATGAAAAAAAGAACAAACAGTGTTCGTGTTCAAAATGTTGAATCAGATCAATTACAGCTCAACCAATAGAGAGAACACTAAAAATCCATTAACGGTACTGAAGAAAGATACTCATATGGGAAGATGATCCTGGAATACTATGTAAAAAATGCCAGATCAGTATAGCACCGCGAACCACAAACTGTACAGTCTACATAGAGTGTACAGAGAATGGCATCCACAGAATGCATTGTTAACAGACTGTATCTCGAAAATAGATCCTGATACTATTGTATCTCTGGTTGACTTATTTGCTGCTTTCTGTAGTGAGCCCATATTACCACATAATAACAACAACAGTAAAGGTGTTTGGAAATTTTGGTCTTGATCTTTTTTTTTCTGGCGAACAGTAGAATTAAACCAGAACAGCCAGTGCTGCCTCGGTGGCATTATTTGGCAACCTGTCTTTCCATTACAAAGCTGAGAACCCTGTTCTTGGCCTTTTGATCTGAATTCTATCCCTTTGCATTGTTTATGCTTGACATTTGAAACTCAGCAGGTCCTCATACGCCCCAGATCCAGATCCTGTGTGTAGTTTCCTTCAAGACTTTGACTTCTCAGAACCATCTGGCAAGAGAATTCACCGCACCAGCCCTCTGCCCTTGCTCAGGTGCAGTCTGGGCCCCTGAACAAAGTCCGGTGTGCCCATTTGAATGCCAAACATCTGAAATCTTTCCCCAGCTTCTCATCACCCCCTTGCTGCAGGACGCAATAGTTACACACTTATCTCCTCAGAAAGTGACCCTTCATCCCAGCTCCACACTGTGTTTGGATGCCAAGGAGGATACATGACGTGTCAGCTGTTTCTTTTCCTGAAACTTTAAACGTTGCAAAGCGATTTGCTTTAAACCCCTTCCCATACTAATGACATCACTATTCAGGTGTGTGCTTAGCGTTGGCACAGCCGCTTGCCACACAGCATCTCATCAGATTTTCAGAGTTACTCAAAAACCCTTGAGTTATAGCATCTCAGTGAATTCTCACCAACACCGAAAAGGCCACAGACCACAGCCATTCACGTTTGAATTCGTAATCAAGCCATTTCTTTGGGGTTGCTAGTCAGTGGTGGAGGAAAAGTTGGAACCCGTGCTGTCTGATTGGGAGCGTCCTTAAAATGGCAATCCCCGGGCTGGAGAGATGGCTCAGCCGTTAAAGGCTAGGCTCACCACCAAAAATATAAAATGGCAATCCCCTAGAGTACGTTAGAAGTATTGTTTCCCATCACCCGATTGACTGGTGTGTTTTACGATGCGTCTACAGAAAGCAGCGTGCATCTCCACGAGACGTTTCGCCCTGAGAGCCGTGGCTTACTTGACAACATCGTCCTTACTCAGTCTTGACTGCAGTGTCCCGCAGCCACTGCTCCCTATGTCGTTCAGCCTCAGAGTCCCTCTGCCTCTTTCAGTCCAGGATTGTGTTATCTTGGTGAATACAAATATCTTGCAGTTGATCTAAATGACAATTGTTTAAAATGTCAGACACATTGAAACTTTTACAGATTGAATTCTTCCTTCTGCCCTAACACTATTATATCTGGCTTGTCTTGTACTAAATTAATCTCTGTTAATGATGAATGAACTAGAACTTGAGACTTATTTAACTTGCAAGGACATGCAATCTCTGAATAGTTCAAACTGCAAAAAAATATGAAACTAACAGCGTAGAGTGAACTTTTGAAAAGGGCTCCCAACCCTTGCTCTCTATTTTCCACTTCTACAATGCGTGGCCACTAATAATAAAGAATTTATTTATTCTTTCAGAGATGTTTGTACCAATACATACATGTTCTCATCATTTTCTAAAACTATAGGATACCATGTATACTTGCTACTTTCTTACTTAATATGTCTCTATATGCCAACTTCTGCATTAAACTTGATATTATTTTGGCCACATAATGTTATTCTAAATAAATGAATCATGGATTTGCATGCTAAAATATTTCAAACACAGCACATGGAGATGGAGAGTTGTGATATGATAGCATGGAGTCCCTTGTGGAAATATAATGGTTGCTAGTTATTAAATACTTCCATACATAAGTCATCTGTACGTTCGAATGAAAATGCAGTGCACTAGGGACTGACCCCTAGGAGTTACTTCAATTAGGCCAAAATTATGCCTTGAGATGCACTTATATAGAATAGAAGTATCCTTAGGTCATAGTGGAAATAAGGGGGAGTGGAAAGAGTGTGGGAGAAGATAGAGGAGGGCAAAGGGGGATTGGTGCCTTTAAACAGTGAGATTACAGATCGTACCTGACCCCACTCAGCCCCAAATCAGATACAGTGCACACCTGAAGTTCTTGATTTATGCAAAAGTCTACACTTTAATAAACAAAAACAATAACAAAAAAAAGCTTTTTGTCTTAACCTGAAAGCAAATCACCTTTCAGTATTAGTAGAGTTGATCATAGTAATGGCACTGCTTGTGAGAACAGACATGAGAAGTGTAAAATGGAAGTCTGAAGTTACTTGAAGACAGAATCCTAGCCTGTTTATATGAGCCCCAGAAGATGGGGGCTAAAGCAAGAAGATCCTAAACTTAGAGTCATTGCCTCTTTCTTCTTGGAGAACTAGAATGAGTGGTTGTAAACACACACACACACACACACACACACACACACACACACACACACACACACAGTTCAAGAAGATAACACTACCTTAGTTTAACAATGAGGTTTTACAAGCCTCAAATAGTTTTTATTCAAGCAACTTAGTCTTCCTGAAATTCTATTTCTAACTATTTCTGAAGATGTCTCTGCTGATGTTGGCTTTAGTCTATATAATACTTTTAGTCTCTATGATACATAGCATACAAACCTTTAGCACATTATGTTCCGTTTCATCTCCTATTATGACATCAATTTTCTCGAGCAAGCATTTTTGTGATGGTTTGGAGGAAAAAGCAGCCGCTGATTCAATTAGGGATACAGTTTTAATAGAGCCTGTCCCAAAGAGAAAGCAGGAAGAAAAATAGGTAAGACTTTGTTTCCTCTGCCGTGAAGGTTGTGTGCTACCCTTGCTAATACTCCTTTTTACCTTATATTGAAAAGTCGAACTGTTTGAATAGGTTAAAAACCACCTAATTTACTCTTCCATAGTACTAAGTCAATAATTTTAAAGTCTATATTAAAACCTAATTATATGTTTTAATTCTTACCCAAAACAATTTAAATACTGGATTGTAGGCTTTTAAAATTGTGTGGACATTAGGTAAATGTCATTAAAAATAGGAGAACAGGGGCTGGAAAGATAGGTCAGTGGTTAAGAGCACTGGCTGCCATTCCAGAGGACCCAGCTTCAGTTCCCAGCACCTACACGATGGTTGCTCATTCCCAGAGGATCCGATGTCCTCTTCTGGCCTCTTTTTAGGCACCAGGCACACATGTGGTCCGCTGACATACATGCATGCAAACCAGCCATACACATAAAAACAATAGGAGACGGTGAAGTTAGACGATTTACGAGTGAAACGATTCTTACTTGGATCTGAAGCAGCAGTAGGAAATTTCAGAACAGATTTGAATGTTTTTTCCTTGGCATATGAATGGTTTTGAAGTGGAGGCTGGGTGAGCCTTTGAGTGCCCTAAGTGGGGGGAAATTTATATTGTTTAATCTTTATGCCTAGATATTTGCAATAAGCCAAAAACCAAAAGATTTTCTTTTTCAACACAGCACACAAGAAAGGGCGACTGTGTTTTTGTTTCGGGCTCCTCTGCACTCAACAGAGAACTGGGCTACAGTCAGGAAGCGTTGGTTCTAACCTCAAACACCAGAGCTCACTTATCCCAGCCTGTCCAGATGGGTCTGGTTTTAAAGAAAGAAGAAAAGCTGGAGTAGCAGCCGTTCTCTTCGCGTCCGGTGTTTTTCAGTGATCCCAGAGATTCACTATTGCTGTCTACTTCCCGGAAAAGAAAACTCTGCTAGATATCTCAGAGAACAGAAGGAATCCTAATGACTCCTCCGACATGACTGTTTGCAAGTCATTGTGTGTGTGTGTGTGTGTGTGTGTGTGTGTGTGTGTGTGTGTAGCATGTGCATGCCAAGTGTGTAAAGGTTAGAGAGCAATTTGCAGGAATCCGGTTTCTTCTTTCACCACGTGGTCCCTGAGACCAAACTCAGGTCACCAGGCTTGGTGGCATCTCTAGCCCCCCAACAGTCACTTCCAAGGCTCTGCAGATCTAATGCCATAAAAGCCTGTATGGAAAAGATTAACAACTGTGCTGCTCGTGGCCGTGTGTGCTCCCCTTGCAGAGCAGTGAACGTGGAACAGTGCCTTTGTGAACCCAAGATTCTGCCGTGTCATCTAGTGGGAGATCAGTGTAGTCCCTGAAACGAGGCAAAGACGAATCATTTTCGGTTTAAGAAAATAGAAACGCCAGCTCGGCAAGATTAGTGACTCATTCTCAAAGCTCAAGTCGGGAATGCACTTTGACCTCCCGTATCACAAGGCCATAGGCTCACAAGATTAATTAGAGGAAACACACAAACTATGTGGATTGTTCCCAGGATCCTTGGGACATCCTCTCTGAGAGAAATGGGAAGCTCCAGTCCTTTTTATAAAGCCGCATCAAAGATGTCTGTATGACATATTGACAAGTGTTAACTCACACCAAACCTCCGTGGCCCCGACTGCAGTTTGTTCTCACGGGTTTCTCTCTGTCTCCCTTACTACACTGTAAGCCTCTCTTAGAGCATTGTCTGCTTCAGCTTTGCATAACTACTCAGGTGGATTCCAAACCTAGCTGTACATTAGAATGACTTGACCCTTGACCTCACCCATAGCATTTCTGGCCTAATGATACAAGATCTTACTTGACGGCTCCCCGAAAGGGGTGCTGGGAGATGGCTCAGTGGGTGATGAGGGTTATTGTACAGACTTCAGGACAAATGACCAGCCCACACATAAAGCTAAGTATGGCCACATGGGCATATAACCCCAGCACTGGGAGTCGGAGGCAGGTAGAGACAGGAACTCGGCAACCAGCCTAGTCCAGTAAGCTGCAGGGTCAGTGAGACCCAGTCTCACAGGAATAAACTGGAGAGTAGTAAGAAAGGGCCCGTGGCCTCCAAATGTACATGCGTGGCATGTGCATGCACATGCATACACACCTGACACACAGAACACACACACACACACACACACACACACACACACACACACACACACA